CGCCTGGTTAAGCCAGGGCGACAGAAAGGAAGATGGAGCGCCTGGTGACAACCGTGCCATCGAACTGGTTACCAAATAAAATGAGAAGTGCTTCACGAGCAATGTTCAGCATGACAGCTGATTTTTTAAGGTTGGAGCATAGAGTGAGGATTTTGTAGTCATTAACCACTTAGATTAGATTGGACTGATGTGGAAATTACATTGGTGGTCTTCAAACATCTTTGATTATTATCGGTCGCTGAATATCAGACCAATGACGTTGCCACTCATTGGCCCATGGCTGATTCAATGGTGTTCATCCTCCATTCACTCTAAATCGAAAAGCGGGGCGGGGGGGGGGGTCGCAGACCTACGAGCCCGCAATAATCGTACTGGAACTGAAATTGCAACCCAATATTTGGTCACAGGCTATTCAAAGAGCTGAAGTGTCTCTTTTTGGTCTGTTGAAGGCCTGGTCTATTGAAATGACGGTCGCTGTTGCGATTGTTGAGTAAGCCGAGTAATTGAAGGCAGGGTACAGTATGTGGATCAAGGGTGAAGTTGAGGTGTCGGTGCTACCCCTCCCCCGATTTTCTCTTCCAGTATAAACCTCGCCCCAATCCTTCTATTCTGAATACCCTCTTCCCAAACCCTTCCTACTCCATACCCTCTTTTCCACTATGGAAAATGGAATTTTCGTCATCAACAGAAAATTCGCGCCACTCTTCGAAGCAGCCAGGAGAAACCTAGCGTCAAAATGCGTCTCGTTGAGCCTGCCTCAATAGCATGAAATTTCGAGGAAGTCTATGGGCTCAGCACGTACCGCCACTGTGGAAGAAGTGGTGAAAGACGGGCCAACGCAGCACTGATGGTGTCACTTGCGTGACACTTGTTTTGTTTCCACCGGAACAAACCGATGACTCAAAACTAGCAGTTCATTTCGCAACAAACGACGTTTCCTCAAGAAATCATCTCTTTTATAGATGTTGCGGAGGATTTTATGGTGTTGCATTTCGTCATATCTCTGAGAAATCGTGCTCTTCCTATACAGCGAACTTGCAGCTTTTATTCAATGATTCAATGATAATGTTACATTCGTCCAACCTTATGGTTGGAAACCAACAGAGAGTTAGTAATTCACGAGCATAGTCATATGCTCCAATGATGGAGGACACAGAAGATGCGTTTCAAAAACCCTTTTTTCATATTCTTTCATCCTAATTATTGAAAATGTTCAAATGATGGAAATCACGAAAATAGCGCGCACTTGTTGTCGTGTTTGCGATGAGTTAAGTGCTCGAAAAGTGTGGCTTTCGCACCTGGAAAAGACTGAGATACTTGTTGTCCAGTACTCTCATCCATGACAGTATATATTGTACAATCACGTAGTTGGTTAGCGTTCTTGATGAGGCATCATTGAAAAGTTGATTAATTCTGTAAAAGATTCATCAGGCTATATTTTTCTTGATTGCCCTCACTCAAGCTAATTGTCAATAACTAACTGTGCTATATATTCCATACTAGGAACCACCACTGACGGATTCGCCAAAATAT